GCTCGTGGAGCGCTTCATGACAACAATAGCTGTTCACATACATAACTAATAAACTTGTGCAATAAGCGAATGATACAAACGAGAATAAGTATTCAATACAAACAATAACTTATTGCAGACAAGCAGTGTCCTTGTGGAATATACATTGTATTACACGCTTGTCAGAAAGGCAGTCAGTACAAACGATGGTTATTGATAGGAAGCCAATTCTCTCATGCAATATTCACCACGCAACACGCCTGACGTTAACACCTTCACTACAATTGATAGCTAATGACAGATAGAGCTAAATGCAAAATACCATGTATGATTCTTTTTTGACAGTGTTACTTTTGATTGCTTTCTTGCTTGCTTGCTTGCTTGCTTGCTTGCTTGCTTGATTGAGTATGGTTTTACGCCGCTTTTAGCAATATTCCAGCAATATCACGACGGGGAACACCAGAAATGGGCTTCACACATTGTACCCATGTCGGGAATCGAACCCGGGTGTTCGGCGGGACGAGCAAAGCTTTAACCACTAGGCTTCGCGACCACCCCCGAGTGAGTGAGTGAGTGAGTGAGTGAGTGAGTGAGTGAGTGAGACCAGAAATCGGCGTAACACAGTGTTGCCATATGGGGAAAGGAACCTGGGTCTTCGACGTGACGAGTGAATGCCTTAACAACTAGGCTACCCCACCGTCATATAATCCACTTTTAAGGCCCATAAGACATAAACATGTTAAAATCATTATCACATATTCTGAAAATGTCAAATGTATATTTTTAAAACCTTATTATAGTTTTGTATAATTGTAAATAACCGATTGCAATTTTGATAATATATATTTCATATTCAGAAATTAAGTTCCCCTGTGCATGGAGGATATGTTTTATAAAGTGCACAGATCGACACATACACTTTTTCCGATCATAGGGATATGTTAATGAGTAAAGAGCTTACAATCACAGCCATCAGATAAAAACCTGGTTGCCAAGGAAACGGTTCACGTTAATAGATTAAAAGGAAAAGGAAATTACAATTGTCAAACACAGAGACAGAAAAGCTTTATATAATGATAAAAGCTATACTTTCGTTTAGCAATTATGAATAATTCAAAAGGCAAATGAATATATCTACCAGTTGCTATATAGTGATGTTACTGAAGGGGACATTTCTCTGAATTAACTGCAATACTTGATAACTGAGGATCGGACCATTTCACGGACGTCTGGCACATTCAATTGTGGGCCAAATGAGTTTGAATTGACAACTTCCTCAACAGGGGCAGACACAGGGGCATACTCGAGGGCAGATATAGGGGCAGACACAGGGGTAGACACAGGGGTAGAAACAGAAGCAGATACAGGGGAAAATACTGGGGCGGATACAGAGACAGATACAGGGGCAGATACAGGGGTAGAAACAGGGACAGATACAGGGGCGGATACAGGGACAGATATAGGGGAAAATACAGGAGCAGACACAGGGATAGAAAGAGCAGATACAGGGACAGATACAGGGACAGATACAGGTACAGATACAGGGACAGATACACGGGCAGATACAGGGACAAATACAGGGACAGATACAGGGACAGATACACGGGCAGATGCAGGGACAAATACAGGGGCAGATACAGGGGCAGATACAGGGGCTGATACAGGGACAGATACAGGTGCAGATACAGGGGCAGATACAGGCTCAGATACAGGGACAGATACAGGGGTACAGGTGCAGATACAGGGACAGATACACGGGCAGATACAGGGGCAGATACACGGGCAGATACAGGGGTAGAAACAGGAACAGATACAGGGGCAGATACACGGGCAGATACACGGGCAGATACAGGGGTAGAAACAGGGACAGATACAGGGGCAGATACAGGGACTGATACAGAGGCAGATACAGGGACAGATACAGGGGAAGATACAGGGACAGATACAGGGGCAGATACAGGGACAGATACACGGGTAGAAATAGGGGTAGAAACAGAAGCAGATACAGGGACAGATACAGGGGACAATACAGGGGCAGATACAGGGACAGATACACGGGCAGATACAGGGGCTGATACAGGGACAGATACAGGTGCAGATACAGGGGCAGATACAGGGACAGATACAGGGGTACAGGTGCAGATACAGGGGCAGATACAGGGGCAGATACAGGGACAGATACAGGGCAGATACAGGGGCAGATACAGGGCAGATACAGGGGCAGATACAGGGGCAGATACACCGGCAGATACAGAGGCAGATACACCGGCAGATACAGGGGTAGATAAAGGGGCAGATACAGGGGCAGATACAGGGGCAGATACAGGGACATATACAGGGGCAGATACAGGGGCAGATACAGGGACAGGAACACGGGCAGATGCAGGGACATATACTGGGGCAGACACACGGGCAGATACACGGGCAGATACACGGGCAGATACAGGGGCAGATACAGGGACAGATACAGGGCAGATACAGGGGCAGATACAGGAGCAGATACAGGGGCAGATACAGGGCAGATACAGGGACAGATACAGGGACAGATACAGGGACAGATACAGGGGCAGAAACAGGGGCAGACACAGGGACAGATACAGGGACAGATACAGGGCAGATACACGGGCAGATACACGGGCAGACACAGGGGCAGATACAGGGACAGATACAGGGCAGATACACGGGCAGACACAGGGGCAGATACAGGGACAGATACAGGGCAGATACAGGGACAGATACAGGGACAGATACAGGGGCAGAAACAGGGGCAGACACAGGGACAGATACAGGGGCAGACACAGGGGCAGATACAGAGGCAGATACACCGGCAGATACAGGGGTAGATAAAGGGGCAGATACAGGGGCAGATACAGGGACATATACAGGGGCAGATACAAGGGCAGATACAGGGACAGGTACACGGGCAGATGCATGGACATATACTGGGGCAGACACACGGGCAGATAAAGGGGCAGATACAGGGGCAGATACAGGGACATATACAGGGGCAGATACAGGGGCAGATACAGGGACAGGAACACGGGCAGATGCAGGGACATATACTGGGGCAGACACAGGGACAGATACAGGGGTAGAACAGGGACAGATACGGGGGCAGATACAGGGACAGATACAGGGGAGAACAGGGGCAGATACAGGGGCAGATACAGGGGCAGATACAGGGGTATAACAGGGGCAGATACAGGGGCAGACACAGAGGCAGATACAGGGGCATATACAGGGACAGATACAGGGACAGATACAGGGGTAGAAACAGGGACAGATACAGGGACAGATACAGGGACAGATACAGGGGCAGATACAGGGGCAGACATAGGGTGAGATACAGGGCAGAAATAGGGGAGGATACAGGGGCAGACACAGGGGCAGATACAGGGGCAGATACAGGGGCAGATATGGGGTTGATACAGGGTCAGATATAGGGGCAGATACAGAGGCACATATAGGGCAGATACAGGGGCACACTCAAAATTCATGCGCAAAGGCATTAAATATATTTTAAGTTTTAAATGTAAATGTTAAAAGAAAACAACAACGCAAAAGTGATTTCAGATGTATATTTTATATATCATATAAATAGCCAACAGATGGTTATCGATTTTTCAAAAGTGGCATACATCACAGTCATTGACCCAGGTCCCATATGGCACACATCGAACAGTAGGTGAAGGTTATCTGTTCTCAATATCTTGTATGGCATCATTAGAGTGCAAACCTGACTCTTCCCATGGGCATAGTCGTCCCATGGGAAGCAATCAGATCCCGAATTGTGGCCTGGGGAAAGTTCACCCGCTCTGCCTGCAGAGCTTCTGTCAACTGTCGGAGGTTCTGTTCTTGTTGCTTACGTGCTCACAGTCGTTGATCCAGTGCATACCATACATGTTCGATTGGGTTTGAATCTGGAGACCTGGAGGGCCATGGCAGGACCTGGATGTTGTGATTCCTAAAAAAAGGCTGTTGTCAGTCTTGCCGTGTAAGGTCGCGCGTTGTCCTGTTGGAAAATTACGTTCGCTTTTTGCCTAATGGAAAGGGCGTGTGATCGTGTAACGCTGTGGCGTTAAATTTCCCAGAACGTGCACCAAGTCTGTTCTACCAGTGTAGGAGATGGGTGCCCACATCATCACACTGTCACCGCCAAATCTGTCCACTTCCTGTATACAGTTTCGTGCTTGGCGACGCATGTAAACACGACGTCTACCATCCCAACGGCGAAGCATAAAACCATACTTGTCTCCATGGTAATTGTGGTTATACTCTGTTGTCTTAACACCATGGACGTCGCAGCGGACGATGCAGGTCCGTCCAAATGACACCTCGAACTGGTCGTCTTGCGCGAATACCTTCAGCGCGTTAACTGTTCCTCTTCGTCTGAAATCCTACGCAATCCTTGTATTGCAGTAGTTGTAGAGGTGGCCGTGGTGGTTTCTGTCCTGTGCGCTAGTAGTTTTGCGTGGTCGACTGGATCTGGGAAGGTTCCGTGTGTCTGATAACTGTTCGACAGTCTTGTAATGATGCTTCGTGCTAAGTGGAAAACCTGACCACAGCTGATGATGATTGCCATGTTTGCAGTCGACCGATGGCGTTGTTGCATTGGGCTTCCGTGACTAGCGGCATGTTTTTGCTGTTCACTTGCTGTAAGATTGTGACGACATGCAAATGAAAACCCAACTTTGTTATGGCCCAACAAGTGAAGTTGCACGTGCATGTCACGTTGGTGTGTTTCGGCGCCAGGCTCTCACGTGGTTGTGTTTTTGCGATTTGGCCTTCTGTTAACCAAATTTCTACTGTACCTCATTCTTTGAACACACATCAATCCCAATCCATGCAGAAATGACCAATTCATTTTTTGGTACTAATTAGGTATGGATGTCGGCAATTTACGCATATACAAATATACGTACATGTGCTCATAAATCCACGCCGTTTTCATTTGAATGCTAATTTCTGTATGGGGGTATATAATTTTTATGTAAGTTCAAGGAACAAAATGTTTTCCTTACCTGCATACAGTAACAATCTGGCGCAGTCTGTCCGTCCCTGAATAGCTGATTTCATCAAGGCTGTGAATCCCAGTTTATTCTGTTGGTCAATGCGAATAATCTTAAAGTCTTGCAGAAGAATCCGAACAACATCCGTATGACCTGCAATTAAAACAGACCATTAGTGAGTGGGAAATGTTGTTTTACGTCGCCTTCAGCAAATCTCCAGGTATATCTCCGGCATGGAATCTCACCAGCAATTAAATGGTTTATAGCGTTAGCAGCGATCCATTCATTATGGCAACACATGCAGCCACGTAATAATTCAACCTTTATTGGTCGTACCTTACGACACTGGAAACCAATTCTGTCCAAGGGGTCATCTCAATGTTAAACTGCCTATGCATTTCAAGTAAGCCTGAACAAGTTTGTTAGAGAAAGACACAATTCCCGGTTGGCCAAATCACCGGAGGTAGCCCAAAATCATAGTATTTGATGCGCATGGAAAATAGGTACTGAGTGAGTGAGTTTGGTTTATCGTCGCTTTTAACAGCATTCCAGATATATCACGGGGTGTCAGCTTAATGTGGGAGGACATCCCGAAGCGATACAGGCCTGATGCGTTTACTACTTTGGAAAAACCACAGGCATGGCGCTGACAAACCTAGAAACATGATCGGGGCGAAACGGGATTCGAACCCATGATCAATGGTTTCCGGCGTGCATGGCGAATTGCGGCGGCTAAGGCTTCTGGGCCAAGAAATTAGAAATTATGAAGTGAAAATGAACTACGTATGAGTCTACCAAGATACACATTACTGGGAATAATTGGACATAGGCATAGATTTACAGAGAGGAGTAAATACCGAGAAGATGTATGGGGCAATTTCCTTTATGAACAGATCATAATAAAGGTTCGTCTTTGGGATTTGACCATGATCAATTCTTCAGAAACAGCCACATTTCAGAAATCGAGAAACCCCATTGAAATTGGTATCAAAGTAATCCGAAGTGTTTATACAAAATGATATTATTTCATTAAACATGCACACTTGCATGAGTTTGGACACATCGGAAATAAAGATTATTTCAGGGTATTTTCAGGAAGCGTTTTTCTACTATTTGAACACAAACGAATCTTTGCCCGAAGCTGATATTTTTATCAGATGTAGGTGACGACATTATTTACAAATATTGCATGGTAATTTTATACGTCTACCTATTTATCATCCAAAATATATTCCATGAGAGATATTGCTTGGGTGAGATCATCTACGAGATATCACAAGAATACAATTGCACCACAATGCTTTTCATATCATTGTGAGGTGAACGGTTACCATTACGCACGCATCAATCAAATGACATCGATAATCTTTCTAGAACTGAGGGTATTACTGTTTGCATACTAGAAAAGTTGTAAGAATGATCGTGGATGATAAATAGCATCTCATCCGAGTGTATTTTGATATCAAGTAAATCAACACCCGTCGAAAAAGGTTTTAACGACTCGTGTTAATATATTTGATATCAAAAGACACTCGGATGAGATCATCTATTTATGCATTTTAACAACAACTGTTTACTTGTGCCAAAGGATGCAGTGATTTCTGATCAGTATTAATATTATGTTTGACTGATTAATGTCGCCAAACTATGCAAGCACCCATGTATGTCAGACATAGGTATTCGCTAAGTTCCTATTTTACTCTTCTAACACTGGCACAATACATTAGTTCTTCGTAGGGAGTGCGCGCGTGCGCGCGTGCATGCGTGCGTGAGTCAGTGAGTCTCTCTTGAGAACTCCCTTTTTCTTAGAATTACCACCAAACGCTAATTCAAAGCGCTGCCTAATCTTAAAATGAAGCTCATATTATCCTGCAATTGTTAAAGTCCTAACTCAAAGTTATAGCACTAATGTCATGTGCACAAAGAGAACTCTATCATACTGTAGGTCTTCTAAAGAAAACAGGTTTACGCTGCCTAAAAACGCCAAGATCCAGCATTAGGTTTAAATGGTATAATGTCCCGTATTGTAACTGACTTAAAGGGATACACTTAGACGTACGGTCTGATAAAGTGAGTACAGTAATGTCTGTTTGTACGACTGTTTGGAGGAAAAATGTACATGTAAGCAAAGGGCACGGGTATGTTTCCTATATATCCAAGGTTATGATCGGAACGACTATGGGATTCGAACACAGGACTCGGGGATTATGGCAGTTAAGAGACGCACACCTTAGGTCATAACGACAGCCTTAGATCACTGGTCCATCCGTAAAGAACTGACATGACTGACTATCTTGAAACACCAGGGCCCACCTGCACAAAGCAATCTTAGCGCTGTGACTATCGCAAGCCTATGTTAAAGTGTGGGAGTTACGATCATCTTAGCGCTAAGATCGTTTTGTACAAGTGGACCCAGAACCCATATTGCTATGATACTCACAATCCAACTGTACAATCCAATTACAGAGAAACAAGTATTGTTTGCAGCAAAGAACATTATACATATATTTGTAATCTACACAACACATAGAATACATATAGCATTTATCTGCGGTCAGAATTATCTGGATGGTGGTGACTGAAGCCGGAACCAACCAGATATTAGTAATCATATCTGGCTTTAAAGCCTATTCGACCTTCTTGTACATGATTTTAGATACGTACAAGTCTAGCCATCAGGAGGTTTACCATTCTAAATGATTTTATAAGTGGAGCTATTTCCACTCATTATATTCTTCCGAATTAGATTTGATTACTTTAGGAACTGATATGTGACGGCGAATATGGGACCATATATTAGGAAGCGACTGTAAAGGTAACAACTACCAAGACAACAGCTATAATGGGGGTAGAAACTATTGGGAAAGCAACTATTTTGTAAGACACTCTGTGACAGCAACTCACGGGGAAGAAACTATTGGGAAAGCAACTATTGTGTTAGACACTCTGTGACAGCAACTCACGGGGAAGAAACTATTGGGAAAGCAACTATTGTGTTAGACACTCTGTGACAGCAACTCACGGGGTAGAAACTATTGGGAAAGCAACTATTTTGTTAGACACTCTGTGACAGCAACTCACGGGGAAGAAACTATTGGGAAAGCAACTATTTTGTTAGGCACTCTGTGACAGCAACTCACGGGGAAGAAACTATTGGGAAAGCAACTATTGTGTTAGACACTCTGTGACAGCAACTCACGGGGAAGAAACTATTGGGAAAGCAACTATTGTGTTAGACACTCTGTGACAGCAACTCACGGGGAAGAAACTATTGGGAAAGCAACTATTGTGTTAGACACTCTGTGACAGCAACTCACGGGGAAGAAACTATTGGGAAAGCAACTATTGTGTTAGACACTCTGTGACAGCAACTCACGGGGTAGAAACTATTGGGAAAGCAACTATTTTGTTAGACACTCTGTGACAGCAACTCACGGGGAAGAAACTATTGGGAAAGCAACTATTTTGTTAGGCACTCTGTGACAGCAACTCACGGGGAAGAAACTATTGGGAAAGCAACTATTTTGTTAGACGCTCTGTGACAGCAACTCACGAGGTAGAAACTATTGGGAAAGCAACTATTGTGTTAGACACTCTGTGACAGCAACTCAGGGGGTAGAAACCATTGGGACAACAACTATTAGTACAATAGTTTTTGGCTACTGGAAAGCTTGTAGTTTGGCCTTGACACAAAAAAAACTTAGCATTCTACAGGCTTTGTGAACCAGTTATGTTTTTGAAGTAACTGTGCCCATGTATGACATTCTATATACGTAACTATGAGAGTAGAAACTATTGGGACAACAACTATTAGTACAACAACTATTAGGACAATAACTATTGGGGTAGAAACTATTAGGGTAGAAACTATTAGTACAACAACAATTGGGACAGTACCTATTTGGGTAGAAACTATTATATGACAACTATATGCGCACCAATTATTTAGGCAGCAGCTATTGGGTTTGCAACGGTCAGGAAAAAAACTTTGGGGGCAGGCAGCACATACACGAGCAGCAATGATACATGCAAGAATGTTTGGAGTACACCTCTCAGTCTCTATGGTTTTCACCATCTTTTATAGAAGACATATAATCAGGAATACAATTGTTTGCCCTGAGGTAGACGTTCGATGATGTAAGGAAACTTTGGTCATGAATTACTCTAGTGTTAAATTTAAACGTTACAGTTACATACTTTGCTGAACCCAGAAGTAGGAAGTAACTGAAACCTCGGTTAACAAAATCGTCTATGTAATCAGTGTTTTGTACAATGTCGCGCTAGAGACAAATGCCGCGAAGCCAGATCAGGTGACAAGACATTCTTACACTTCATTCACCTCACACGTGCTCTGCCGCGTGATCCGTGATTCGTATCCTGCGCAAACCTGAGCCATTTCATTGTTTTCACAAAGGAAGGCAAATAGCAAGTGATCTGACTTAATTAGATTCCATTGTGTTTACAGTCCTAGAATGTTGACTTTCTTGTAAACCCCTTGCTGAAATTACTGGCTTAATCAAATCTGTCGTTTTCTTCTCAGCTATGAGCATCCCCATTGACGACAAAGTACTAAAACCTAAGGATCCAATCAAAGGGAGTCGCCTTTAAACGTAAATACTTTTTGTTTCCTGGTTTTGAAGTAATGAACATCCCACAAAGCCATTAATTCCCTGTGATCGAGGAACTGACGAACGTATGGACTGAATCTTGAAGGAAGGGTTTATCTGCAACTTATTTCAACTTTAAATGGTTCAGGGGACGGAAAGTTTAAAGTTAGAACATAAATCGGACAAAGTATGGTTGGTGGTATTACTTCAATTGACAGGCTGAAGTAGGAGAAAAGAAATCTTATCGTCATGTTTCTTGTCTGTAGCTACAGCTCGTCTGTGAGTTTGGTTTAATGCTGCTTCTGAACACTTCTTCAGTTAAATCACGACGTGTCAGATTTTGGTGAAACTCCGTGCACATGGATGGTGCTGAATCACAATCAGAGAGGAACTGGGATTCGAAAACATTCAAAGAATCCTTGTAGGCATAAGGGACGCAACTCTGCAGCTTGAATTTGACCGTTTCCCCAATCAAGAAGCATACATTACAAAGTCATTATTATAATTATGTTATGGTCATTTAGGCATTTAGAGGGATAAACCCGGGCCAATTGGCAGCCATAGCAAAATTGTAAGTTTTAAGTAACTCAAACAACACTTTGGTAGCCTGTTGTTTCACATTCAATGATGAACATCAACATATCCGTCAATGTCTCTCATTTAATTTCGTTTCCGGTGTTTTCAAGGAAGCTGTCGATCGAACGATCAATAAATTGCAGATTTTAACTGACACGTGACCATCATACCGGCACACCATACAGCTATCATATTGTTTGTTGTTTAACGCCACACCCAACGAATTTCCAACTATATGACAACGGCCTTAAATAATCGTGTTTGGATAAGACAGTCCAGTGCTCGATATTGTGAGCAACGATCAATGCTGTCGCGGTACGACGACACGTCATTAACCAAGTCACCAACCCTGACCACCCGAACCATTTGGTTGCTGGGGACCCATTCTAACACGGAATGTTCAAAGAGACATCACTGTTAAATCTACGTATATGACTTTTAAATATGTAGAAAAACATGTTTGCGGTACAAATAGCAGTAGATAAGATACAAGCGGCCAAACTCATTCCATAATCATAAGAAATCAAGATTCTGACTTTATCATAAGCACGTGTTTGTGAATCTCTATTAAATAGTGCTCATACCAGGTGTGCGCGAAAAAGTTGAGTATATCCTGTCTCATCGATGGTACCCGTCACAAATACATGCAAAAACAAGTCAAGTGTTCAATTGAAAAAAACACGGAAACAAGTCAAGTTCAAGTCAAAATAGGGAATTGCATCGGCCTTCATTTTGGACAGTGATGAGGATCTTGGCATATCTGAGGCTATTCATAACGTTTTGAAATTTCTGAACGCTTTTGGCCTTGACTGCTGAAACCCCTATTAAGCAACTTTTGAGCAAGAGTTGTATGATGTTCTTTGAAATCTTCTTTGAAAGAGCATGCTCAGCTGTACCTCACAAGTGGTGAAATGTAAACACCAAAGGCTGGAGCTCTTGGAATATTGCTCGACATAAAGGAAAGTTGATCCCTCTTGTCACACAATCTTGTTGATGTTTTTGTTTGCTACTCGGAAACGAGTTTGCCAGGCAACTATGACCTTGATGGTCAGGGCGATATTTGTGTGTCGGTCGGAGATAGAGGAGGTGAACGTCCAGGGGTCGTCTTAATCAATTGGCATCTTATAAATTAACAGAGATAAAATGGTAAGGACTTTGGGATGGACAAAGGAATATTCTGATATATCCATGTACTTTATCTGATATAAGGAGGAAATGATACTCATCTTCTTCTAATTCAAATTATAAAAGCAACATGTATGATGATTGAGCTAAATATAATGTATCTAAAGAAGTAATGACATTGGAGATTTTATGAAGTCAGTTTTAACAAATTTAATTTTTCAAATTATTACACGACTATATAGGTATCAGGTGAATGAAGTCTTCATTGATGTATTCCACCTGTTGCATGCTTGTGAAAGGTTAAATCTTTAAAACAAAACACAGTATGAATAATATATCCATTACGTTTCATAACAAGCATACAAAATAATCTTCATGTTACAAAAAATCTTAAAACTATTTATTTGAAAACTTACGCTGAAATAACTATTTTTCCTTTTGCAAAATATTATTACAAATTCATGAATATTTCCAAATTTCTCATATTAATACAAAAAAGTGCTGAAAGAGATAGAAATGGGAACAGGGGATTTAATGTTTCAAAAAGTTCAGGATTATTTGGAAGATAACTAGTTGTCTTCTCTCCCGGCGACGATAAGGTATCTGTAACCACTGACGTGTTTCGTGTTAATGGCTTCACGGCTAGATGTGTCGACCCGTTGTACGCAGAACGGTATTTAAATAGGGGCGATTTCGCATCAGGACAGTGATAAATGTATCAGTAATGCTGATTCAGCAGATCACGCGGTATAAAGGAAATTATGAAGACGCCAAGCTGCAATTAGAGGCCTTATATCTAATGTAACAATTATTTATAACCACCCTGTTTTTGAGTGAATAACCGAACGTTGTCTCAGGCCGTCGTCTGGCATATACCAGCTATAGCACGGCTTGGTAAACCAATGGTTAATAGCATGGAAATGGGATGTGATAACATACAATCAGTCAGATCGCAGCTTGTAACCATAGTTACGATCATAATGTTAGTCGTCTCTTGTGACACACATGAGGTACTTGCATCATGTTGTTCACTAGAATCCCCTTGTGGTCTTTATATCTGACTGGTTATTTGACATTGTAGGTTGCCTGGACGTTTTTATGTCTCCATAAATTCCTTTTTATATCTTGTAACGATTAAACGGCATTGCCGAATGAAGTTGAACAATATTCCAAATAAATTCAATGTTGTCAAAACATGAATCAATTATGATTACTTGGAACGATGAGATATTTTGGTTAAAATACTCAAATATCGTATGGTCCTTACATAAGTGAGTGAGGGAGTCAATGAGTATGGTTATACGCATCTTCCCGAGGCAAGGGAGTTAACTGACTATCAAAGTCCAGTTTTCACCCTTGCCGAACTAGGCTGGTATTATGGAGTTACATTTTGGCTGGACTAACGAGTCTATGCATAGTCCAATCAAAATCGCGCAACGAAATCGAAATCCGGTTCGTAAACTGTCGTGCAGATTTCGGTCGATTGGAGGATTTGCAAAGCAGATGTACCATCAACTCGGTGTCAGATATTTTACAAATCTTTTGATGTTTTTAATCAAGGTGATCAAGTGATTTGATGCACTTCGCGATGTAAGACCCGTTTTATCACAATATAGATCTTGAGTTTTGATTAGATCGTCTTGACTGGGCGCCGCCATTTTGTTTGAAGCAAATGCATGTAATACGAGAGGTGGAATTTGAATAGTCCATAGGAGAGGCTTAGAAGGGACATAACTGATAATAACCACTGGTGGCGCTACGATCGAGCCCAGGAATTCCAGCCTAGTTCGGCAAGGGTGGGAACTCGACTTTTAAAGTCAGTTAACTCTCTTGCCTCTGTAAGATGGGTTTTACGCCACTTTTAGTAACTTTCTAGCAATATCACGGCGGGCACACCAAATGGGCTTCACACATTGCCCCCATGTGGGTAATCGACATCCTTGCATGTACTAATGGTCTAAAATAATATTTTTTGGTGTTTCAGCTTTGGAATGCATAGATAATGCATCTCTTAAGCACGCCAAGTCCCAACCGACTTACAATATCCTGGCTGAATTGCAAAACGTCAATATATGCTATGATAATAAGGTTATTCCTAAAAAATGAAGATAATAGTGATAATTTAAATCCAATCAGGTTCTCCGTCTCCATTTTTCTCTTCAGGAAAGTGTTGATATAGTTGTTAATCAATGACTGCCGTTGACTGCAAAACTGATCAGTTGGTAAATGTGATAAGATGACTACTGACATCAGGACGCAAGAGCTATGTGTATTACGTATATAATCCTATTTACTCAATAAAGAGCAATTATTTTGCAAGGAAATGGCAGGAATATATTTTCAACACATTGTGCTTACATAAGACCTCCCATTAACGCATGATTGCAGCTGAGTTATCATGCAAATGACTTGTTTGTTTGTTTGTTGTTTAACGCCGCACACAGCAATATTACAGCTATATGGTGGCGGTCTGTAAATAACCGAGTCTGGACCAGACAGTCCAGGGATTGACATCATGAGCAACGATCCACGCAATTGGAATACGATGACATGCATCAACCAAGCCAGTGAGCCTGACCACCCGATCCCGTTAGTCGCCTCTTACGACAAGCATCGTCGCCTTAAATGGCAAGCATGGGTTGCTGAAGACCTATTCTACCACGGATCTTCACAGATCTCATACAAATGAAATCCGACCATATGTGTGACTATTAAACCAAAAAAAGTGCCAATAAAAGTCGTATTGCGAAAACACAAACATAAGTCGTAAGATAACACCATACCTGCTTGAGAGCTGAATATTAGAGGGGTATTTCCTTCCTTATCCGGTATATTTGGATCCACTTCCGGTGTTTCTACGAGCATGTCAAGGACTGGGACGATGCCATGAGAGCACGTGTAGCTCAGCCCTGTCTGAAATCACATGATCATATTTGATTGGATGATGAAATGCTGTCAATTCTGAAATGGGTCGGTTATTCTAACCGGATCTCACGTTCATAGAATCATTGAGATAATAATTCAGATACAAACGATGTCCCCTTTTCTTGGTATTTACGACAGATAGACAACTATACACATAGGTACACCCACAGACACACGTACATACACACACACACACACACACACACACACACACACACACACACACACACACACACACACACACACACACACACACACACACACACACACATCAAACACACACAAACACACACATACACACAAACACACACACACACAAACACACACACACACATACATCACTGTAAAATGATATAACTTGTAGTATATTTCTTTTTGTTAGAAATTCCTTTAAGATGAGTTCCTACGATTCCAAAGTCAAATGATTGGTGTACAGAAAATGATTATCAAAAGTGGAATAATAATTAAAAAATTTTTTATCCGGTTGAGTCTTAACTTTTAGTTTTAATCGGAGATGTGTATTACCCAATTTGTTAAAATTACTCTTAACGTTCAATTTCAGCATAAATAAAATATCGTTAACGTCATTGCCCTTGACAAAAAACATCACGCGTAACAAAAATAATGATCACCAGGAAACACATGCAGCACAAAAGATGTTGCTTTTTCGATACAAAAAAAAAAAGATTTCAAGAAATAAACTTGGTTTCTTTTGTCAAAGCAACCCAATTACGTTTCAGGAAATCGTGCAATTTGTTTGGCACAACGTAATTCGTTTCGACACGATCAGACAGGGAGGTCAAGGACACTGTAAGACCGAGTCACGGTGACCCTTTGAGAAGACAGATGAAGCCTTTCTTGCAAGACCGTTATCAGTATTGTCTGTGAATAATATTTCAGAATGATTTTAACAAAAAACAGCGATGACCACCAGTAAGATGAAAGGTGCTGTCATCATTGTACGCGTAGCTATGTATTCGTTGGGCTTCACAGAAGATGGAGACAAACGATGTTTACAGTAACGTAGCAACATCTGTTGCGGCCGGTACAAGGGAGATAAAACACAAACGAATGTACAATAAAACCCCGTTAATCTGGACGGTACCGTTCCTGATGATCCGTCGGGATTAACACATGTTCAATTAATCGTATGTACGTATGTCCCGTTAATCATATATGTTAAGTCAATGTGTAAAAAGAACTTTCGAAAAGGCAGTTTACAAAACTCCTCAATATTTCAGTCATTTGAAAAAGATGACTGAAAAACTGTCCATATATTATATTAAGATACAGAATTCAAAACATTTTGATGTTGAATTTCATTACAAAGTGACTGAAAATGAGAGGATAAAAATAAAATGCTTTTCCTTCTAATTCGAACATAATTAGTCCATTATGATGTTTTTAAGCCCATATAAAACATTCTCAATAAACAAACTTAATAATTTTTAGTCAATCTGTCAAAGAAACGGACGGATTTTTCAGTCATTTTATGAAAATGACAAACATAATTCGGCTTTTTGTAAATTGCCTAAGAGAATTACATTGACTGTTTTTAAACGTTGACTGTAACATAGACATTGCCAGCATAAGTTGCCTTGAAGGTGAGTTTTTCGGACCACACTCCGACGCAGTGATGACTTCAACAAGCTAATTTGCATATCACGTGATCGAACTTTTCTCTTGCTTGTGAACTCACGCCTTTATTCTGAAACCCTAGCAGTCCGATCTCGCGGCAGCAGTTCAGTGCGATTGAAATTCCCATCGCTGGCTGATCACAATTTGACTACCAAACCGAAAAATAAAAAATATAATATTATATTTATCCTTGTCGACGTAACACTCGAACCCATCAGAATTCTAATTAAGCAAAAGCAACCAAGGGAGACAGTTTCAGCTAATGACCTAACCTGCTCAATTACTGACACGAAAGTGTAAATAAAAATCTATTTTATTTCATTTCAAACCCAGCATGCGACCCAAAAATAGACAAGATAACAAGAAACACAATTACTTCTGTCTGCCCTAAAGTGAACACACAACTAAACACAAACGATATTCCTTGACATTCGTGTCGACAAAAAGCTCACCCGTCCAGATCTGTCTCTTTCATTGATTTCCTCTTCTGTCGGGTTCTCGTCCAGGATAGCCTGAACCGCCTCGATATCCTGCTCGATGCATGCTTCTAGGAACGTAAGGTCCTCGTAGCCGTAGGAAGAGCCGTAGTAGGATCCTTCGTCGTCGTCAGCATCCATCTTAATATCATGTACCTCTGCAAGAAACAGTGGATCGTCAGGAAAAAAACCATATCATTATTCACCTCGCCCAGACACTCGTCAGAATCTAAACGCTTTTTTCTCCAATGAAGAATCACAAATAATTATTTTTATTTTTATTATTCTTGTAAAACCCTTGAAGTGAAATGGGTCAGAGACAGACGTTGATTAAGAAAATCAAATAATCCTCCCACCACAAACAAATTGTAAAAGGGAAAAAAAGTCGGAACCAGTTTTGGGGACCTTTTTTCTCTCTCATCATAAACTCTTCACATCAATAGTTAAGGGCCTCCGCCGTTGTGGCTTCCCATACACTATAACCTATGACGTTCTTCATTCTGCCTCAGGACACAAATGTAGTGTTAATGCCAGTGATATATGACTATGGTGCTAATCATAATAGACATTATGGTGCTATTACCACGTGGAACCCTTGCTGTTGGGTTTACTGTAGGCTGTAGTGTTTCCTTCATGTGACTTCGACCAACATGTGACAATGTACATGTACGTAGTGTCAAGGTGGATTTTGAATATTCTTTAATGTATACCCTGTAGGATGAAATGGTAATGTGATTGTTAACCTTCTTGTGCCTAAAAGGCAGCTTGGGTTGTACACTCTCAAAGGAGCTGAGAATGTCCATTGACCGGGGTAATAGTGTAGCGCGTTGAGCATGGTGTGGATTTGGTGCAGTATACATATGCACATTATATGCACATAATAGTATTTTGATGAATATTAACAGCACATCGCATACAATACGACGAAGAAGAGGCACATGTCAGAAAAAGCCACTAGCCTATGAAGACAGCACTTTTTTCATACCCTAGGTGTATAACCAGTTCAATCCGAATCAGCAATCACACCTGGCATGTGCAGGCACCCATCCACTTACCCACCAGCGTTACTGCGCCGTCATATAGCTAGACTATTGCGAGTGCGGTGTTAAAAAACAATAAACAAAGAAACGATACAGAACTTAGTATTATTTGTTGTCTGTGTGCTTCAAAAACTTTTGCGTTTTGCAGAGTTGAAACAGTGAGTCCAGCTTAACAGTATTTCCGTTGTATTGAGACATGATAGGTAAGCTCAACAAAAGTAAGCCGGGTCTTTGACGTATACCACTTTGGTGAAACCCACCCCAACAAGGATGTGACGCTGAGTAGCCAGATGTCAATTGGGGCACGCAGACACACAGGCACACAGACAAACAGAAACTTCCACGCGCGAGCGCACTTTCGCATCTGCCTCCAATAAACATCACTGCCATTAACCACAACAGACGACAAGAAAACAGTCAACAAACCCGTTTCTTGAGAGCCCTCTGAATTGGGTGGAATGGAACTTTGTGCTCGGAACGCCATATTTTTGGATGAACGGCGACTTGCCTTTACGATTAATGATTGTGATCAAAACGTTTGCCTGAGCGTTAGGGACAACGTCATCTCCAATAGCAACACCATGTCACCTTGGTAATATATGTAGTATTTCACACAATGTACGTATTTTTAAGTTTTTTATTTTAGCAGTTTGATGGTTGATTATACACTTCCAACGTCATGACATACAACCCTTGATATAGAGGGCCATCATCACGTGTCCAGCTGACGCTGATGACCACTGTCCTGCTGAATGCCTAGTGTGACCGGTCAATAGTTAGTAATTACCCAGTAAGACCACGGATACAGGGACACTTTATAAGGCCATGATTGTACTATACCCAGCAGCTGCCGATCAACCTTTAATTCTAACTGACGCGGCTGTCCAAAAACAAACGGTTACATAAAGTCGGTTAAAACGTCAAACAAGGTATTAATTGATGAATATTGTGTATGTGTGGCTAATGTCATCTATGTCATCACGAATATTTATGTCATCACGAACACGTGCGTCACCACGTACATCTACGTCATCACGAATACTTATGTCATCACGAACACGTGCGTCACCACGAAAATCTATGTCATCACGAACATGTGCGTCATCACGAACATCTATGTCATCACGAACATGTGCGTCATCACGAACATGTACGTCGCCACGAACATATATGTCATCACGCACATTTATATCATCACGAATATTTATGTCATCACGAACATTTATATCATCACGAATATTTATGTCATCACGAATATTTATGCCATCACGAACACGTGCGTCACCACGAGCATCTATGTCATCACGAATAGTTATGCCATCACGAACACGTGTGTCATCACAAAAAAAACTTTGTCGCCATTGTAAGCTGACAACTATTTGTAAGTCTTGGTTTCTATTAAATAGAAGTTTTCATTTCTTTGGATGGCTTTCGTTCCAGTGGTGAGTACTCTTAGGTAGAAAAATGGCAGTTCTTTATCGGTAGACTTGCAGTAACATCCCTTTAGGGTTTTCACCAGGTCCCCATTTAAAAATAAATATTAAAAAATGTATGGATGTAAAATAGTAGTGCTACAATCGCAACACTATTGCAAAAATAGTAGTCCTTTATTGGTAGACTTATTGCAACATTCCTTTTCGGGTTTTACCAACTCAAACCGCTTATCCTCTGAATCCTCTGGCATATAATCGGTTCCTACGAACACAAGGATGTAGTGCATTTGAGATCTCCGTGTATCCCCATATTGGCTGAGTAAAATACTGAAACTCGAAACCAAACATGTTCAGTAATATATAATCTCTCCAACGGAATAAATGCAAGATATAGTAAAGAATGTTTACTTTCGTAGTTTAATGGGGTGGTTCACTAATCTCAAGTCTGCATCTGTAAAGGATTCGACAGTATCCCGTCGTGGAGAATACCGATAGGAAATGTCGACACACAACAAGGCTATAAATCCTGGGTGCGGGCAATGATTAGGTTTCTGCCGTAACCACACATCATAACTTCAGAGGAATGGGGACGGTCGGAATTTATCTCATGGTAACACCTGTTTCACCTTATCGCAAAGTGTGAACTCTCAAACGCAATTAAAGTTAAAGATACAAAAGTACCGTCATTTCATATAAACGCTTGTCACATCTGTGGAGTTCACACCAGATTCTATGTCGTTCTACAAGGGTTGATTTTGTTTTTTCCCCGTTTATTTGTTTTTAAACGCGGTATTCAGCAAAATTCAAACTGTATGGGGTGGGCTGTAAATATTGACTGGAACAGACAACCCAGGGATTCATATTTCGAGTAACAATAAACGCCGCCGGGGTACGATAATATTTAATCGACCAAGTAACCGAGCCTGACCATCAGCTCAGTTGCCTCTTTCGAACAGCACAGGTTGCTGGGGTCCAGTTCCTACCCGGAGTCTCCAGTGGCGGGGTGTAAATAGCAATAGAAGACCAAACTGTTTGGACGTACACTGGCCTTGGGTCATTGTGTGGTCCTCCTAGCAAGCATGTTCTCGTAGCAAGTTCAAATTATGAATAATATCTACATTATCTGCCTGCTTATTCAAATAGTACGCTATACCTCTATCCTGCAGTTAAAGGTTACCCTGGATACACAGACAAGGACTCGTATTGTACTTTAAAAATTTTTTTCCTGCAAATGAGAACAGGATCGTGGAGCATAGTAGAAACTCTTATTTCACAAACGTTGTTTTAAAGACTCTGCAATATTTCCGACATACATCCAGATAAATAACCCATTCACCTGATCTTCTTAACATGCATAAGAATTGCAGATCACATGATTCAGGTTTAGTTCACAAGTCGAGCGGCCAGTAACATAGCTGTGAAATTGACGTACATGAGGATATGATTGAGATTATTTGGGAAACGTTCGGAACAAGCGATGCCTCATCACACCGAAGACCCTGGTCCAATTGTCAACATGGCTTGAAAGTATAAAGCCAATTTTGAGCGTTGGAATAATGCCAAAAATTTCACCGCAATCCTTACACGTACCACAATATTCAGTGATAAACTAAAATATTGGTATTATGTCAGTTTCTGAGAGACATCGATATCTATATATTACTTTTAAATGGTCCTCCAATAGGACATTACGCACCCAAGAGCCTTGTCGGGAATTGGGAGCATTGTCGGACTTGTCGTCTTCAAAATACCATGTGACATTTTTTCTATTTCAAACGTCACCTTTCGAAATGGGAACTGGAAACAGAATAAGTGACTCGTATATATTTGGAAGTCGAAATTTTCCGACAAGGCTAAGAAATCTTTGGTATGAAATTATCTACTCAGCAATGATAATTAACAGCACATCAACAGACGTTTGATAAACACGACTGTTGCAGTGTCTCACGTTGTGATATTCATGTCAGCAAGTTTGCGGTAACCCTTCTCATCTAAATTTACACGTGATGCGTAACATAGGACCAAAACGCATGTTAGAGATACAGTGATTTGGAAGAAAGCCCTGTCTCCAAAATATATGAAATAAGTAACAAGAAATATAAACCTAATGATTTTTTCACTTCTCGTTACTGGTGTGGGTTCCCAATAAATTAAAGACCTCCCGGAAGCATTTTAGAACTTCTTGTAAATATAATGCCGGAGAATTACGAGTCTCGATTATTCCACCGGGCGTAAAAGGCAAAATGGCGTTACATTTATATCAGTGAATCGCTGAAACTCGATGATGACACCAGGTGTCTGCGAAAAGGGTAAGCATGTAAATGGTAAACATCGTTCCAAATCTTAATTTTGTAGCAGTAGCACGGTTGAATGTTTACGGTGATGTAAGATAGTAAGTACAGCTTTACAAATAAGATGGAAAGTGTTCCAGTCTATGACACAGTCAAAGTTCTGCCTTTGGGATTTCCGGACCCTATCTCCCTATCAATTAATCCAAAAAAACATAGTTTTACCCAAGAGGCACGTGAAGCTCTAAACTGGTTTGTTTATCATGGGTCAAAAGAGTAAATGACACCTTATGAACAGACTTTAAGCCGTCTATAAAACAGATGACTACGTATTCATGTGTTTATTTCCCAATACCAGGACGCCACTCCGTTATAATGTGAATTAAGTAGACGTGAG